GCTCGCCCGGCCCGGGGAGCCGCCCCGCCCCTTCCCCGCGGCGCCGGCCCGCAGGGGGTCTGGGCACGAGCGAGGGGGGGTCAGGGCGCCCCCGTCAGGGAGAAGGAGCCGCCCCCAGACCCCTGGACGAGACCCGGCCGCGTCCTCACCGGGGTTCTCAAACACCCAGCCGGCGTCCTGCCTCAGCAGCTCCACCACGTTCAGGTCGCATCTCTCCAGCCTGGAAAGAAACTCCGTGTCGGCTCGGGGTCCAGCCGCGGGAGAGGAGCCCGAGTCCTGCGCCCAGACCCGGCCGTCGGGCCAGCGTCGCCGCGGGGGGCTTTGCCTTCCTCCTGCTGGCCCCAGTCACCCCGAAACCTGCTCTCGACCGCCTGGAACCGTCTGGGGAACCGGCTGGCACGGGAGCTCTGCGGAGGGTCAGTCGCTTCCTGTCACCTCCCGAGAGACCTGCGACGCCAGATCAACGTGAAGGAAATTTTGAGGCGCTCCCGAGGGCACAAAAGGAGCCGTGGACACACCGAGGCGTGGTCTGCTACTCCGGACGCAGAGATTCAACACCAAAAGGAGCCACCATTCCTCACGTCATCATCCATGAAAGGCACAAACCCACAAAAGTGCCGTCGTCGTGACGCCCACGTTCACGTGGAAAAACCAACAGGCACAACCAGGAAAATTCTAAAAGGAAGAAAACTCAGCGAGAACAAGCCAACAAATGTAAAGCATGTTACACAGCTGCAGTAGTGAAACCACAGGGTCGTGGCAAATAAATAGACAATAATAAATAGACAAAATAAATAGATCAAAGGGACAGAACAGAAAGTCTGAAAATAAAGCAAAACGCACGGGAGTTTAGTGCGTGACAGAGTTAGCATCTCAGGTCAGTGGAGGGAGGATGGACAATCCCACAAATGACGATGGGCAGTTGGGTAGAAATCTAGAAAAAACTGAAGCCGTGCCTCACATTTTCCCCAGGGTAAAACCCCAAATGCGTCAAAGATGTCAGAGCCCATCAGCTGCCAGGAGTTGGGACGGGCTCCCCAACTGTGTTGCCAAACCCACACGCCCAACGAGAGAAGCGGGTGTAAACACCACACAAAAATAAAAGAAATCCTCCCCATCAAAAGGTCCTCAGTGTTACAAGAAAAATGACAAACTGGGAAATACATTTGCAACTAATTTTTGTCACAGACAAGTGGCTGATATCTCTCATAGGTAAGGGTTCTCACAGATCAGTAAAACACACCCAAGAGAAAAATGTGCAAAATATACAGACAGTTCTCTGGAAGGAAGCACAAAAGGCTGGGTAACATAAAACAAGATGTCCCGTGCTCTGTGGTAAGAGAAGGCACATCACCACCCGTCCGGGGCCATTTGTTGCCCATTGGATGGCAAAGAACAAAGAGTCAGCAGTTGCCCGGCACAGGCACCAGTTGGGGGACCAGCTGTGTGTGACATGGAGCCGTGTCGCCAGAAGCACAGACAGACCTCAGCTCCTAGGGATTTATCCTCCAGGTAAACCCCTCAGAGGCGAATTCACCAGGGTCCACTCCCCGAAGTGTGTCTCCAGTTGCAAAAGATTGGAGACCACTGTCTGTCCATTGGCAGAGCACTGGAAGAAAGCCTGGTGGAGTATGACGCAGCTATAAAAAAGAACCGAGTTCCTCAAAAACTGTAACATAGAGTCCCATATGACCCAGCAGTCCCACTCTTGGGGATAGACCCAGAAGAGTTGAAAGCAGGTTATTGAAGAGATATTTGCACACCCGTGTTCACTGCAGCATTTTTCACAGTAGCCAAAAGGTATAAGCAACCCAAGTGTCCATCGATGGGTGAATGGATAAACAAGATGTGGTCTATCCACACAAAGGAACATTATTCAGCCTTAGAAAGGAAGGAAATCCTGGCATGTGCTACGGCATGAATGAACCTGGAGGACATTGTTCTGAGTTAAATAAGCCAGACACAGAGGGACAGATCCTGTAGGACTCCACTCATATGAGGGCCCTGGAGGAGTCAAACCCACAGAGACAGGAAGTGGATGGTGGTGCCAGGGGCTGGGGGAGGGAACGGGGAGATAGTGTTAAAAGTGTTTAAGGGACAGAGTTTCAGTTTGGGAAGATGAGAGAATCCTGGAGATGGATAGGGATGGTGGGGATGGTTGTACAACAATGAGAATGTGCTTAACTCCACTGAACTGCACGCTTAAAATGGTGAAGATGGTAAATCTTACATTATGTTTATTTTACTACAATTTTTTAAAATTTTTTAAATGAAATAAAAAATGTTTTAAAAGAGAGCAGAGCCTCGGTGGACTGATAGGGAGTGGTTTCCAGCAGGCGTGTTAAATGACACGTGTGTGCTGTGTGCACCTGAACATCTCTGAGGAGCCGCCACGAATCAAGAACGCGGGTTAGCTGTGGGGTGGGCACTGGCTGGTGGGGCAGGTGGAGGAAGGCGCACTGTGTACCCTTGGGGACTTGGGACTTTGAACCGTGCAAATGTATTTCCTACTCAAAGGCCAACAAATGAAATAATGAAATGCAAGCAGCCCCCTTCCTCTCCTACAAGCCCTGAGGGTGTCCCGTCTGTGGGACCTCGGCACAGCCTGTCTCTCCGCCTCAGGGTCAGGCGAGGGTCTCAGACAGATGTGCGTTGACACCAGCGTGGAGCGAGGCCGCTGACCAATTGCACTGATAAGCAGACGTCAGAAATGGTGGTGGAGACCCCTGGCAACCACTGTGTTCTCTCGTCAGCCACGGCTTTTCCAAGGGGCCGGGGCTCTCCAGATGCCAAGTTTCCATATTTGGATGTTTTATTCCACAAACCTCTCTGGGACTTGCCCGGCCACGTGGCCTTGGGGGCTAACACCCACAGCACACGTGACCCATGTTCAACCAACACAGCAGAGCCACCATGTGACCCAGACCTCCCCTGTCCTCACTCATCCCATGGCCAGGCCTGGCCCAGGTGGACAGGGGCCCACAGTCTCCTGCAGGCAAACTCCAGTATGGGGGGCCCTCAGGGAGCAGGGGGGAAGGGTCTCCTCCCTGGACCCTGTCTGCTCAGCTGTCCAGGCAGCACTGTGAAGCTGGGCTGCCAGGATGGAAACGCCCACCGTGCTTGCCAGCACAAGGCGGGCTGGGCCTTCTCCATGGGAAGGGTGGGGGACAAGAGTGCAACACCGCCCCCGTGTGGCATGCCCCCTGCCCCGCAGCCTAGCTCCCCCCACTGCCCCCAGGTGGCATGGCCTCCCCACAGCACAGCCCCCTCTGGCTGCCCGTCCACCCGCTCCCCCCAGCACCCTCCCACCAGCTGTGCGCCGGGTCTGCTCCATCGGTCAAGGTCAGCTGAGGCTCGGCCTGACAACACAGGTCCAGTTTGACAAATGGCCCCAGTGACCGCATCCTCTGGGGGTTCATTTTCCAAAAGAACCAGCGGCTCTTAGGGTTTGCACAAAGAAGAGGCCTCTCCCGCTCTGACTGGAGCCCGGCCAAACTGACCAAGGGCCTGGAAGCAGCAGGCAGGGCGGTCAGAGGCTGTGCCCGGCCCTATTGGCGAAAGCATGAGTCCTACCCAGAGGCCACCAGGCCGGGAGTCTAGGGATGCAGACCCCAGAGGCCAGGCCAAGGATGGGGCTCAGAGCAGATCCAGCAGGGAGGGCAGGGAAGGGGGGCGTCGAGGCGCCCAGGAGCACATGTGCTGGGCTCACGTAGCCTCTGTATCTGGGCCAGGTGGGCTCAGCCGGAGGAGGCTGCGACCACAGCCTGGGCTGCCATGGATACTCACCTGTGCCTGGAGGACAGCATTTTCAGGTTGTTTTCTGGAGTGAGGGTCACCACGACCCCCTCAATGTTCTTCGTGGCCTTCTCCACCGCAAAGCCCCTTTCCCCGGAGGCCTTGGCCAGCACGTACCAGGACCCCAGGAGCTGGACGGAAGAGGGGCAGGTGAGAGGGGGCCAGGCCCTCAGCCCTTGGAGGCACCCCTTTATCTGGGAGCCCAGGGGCCCCTGACGCAGGCCAGCCCGCCCCCCGAAGCCCACACCAGTCTGGCTGGCACTGGGGGGAGCGCAGGGGCTGTGTGGCCCCTCAGGAGGGGCCTGGCCCTAGGACCAACGTGCCCCAAGGCAGCTAATGGCACCCCAAGGAGGACCATTACCTGCTTGGGGTCGAGCCTGCCCAGCCACACGGCCTGGGCCCTGGACACAGAGACTAGAGCCAGAAGAGCAGCCAGCAGCACACCTCCCATCCTCCCGGAGGTCCGCACACCAGCACACGCCTCGGGGCCCAGGGGTATGCGGTCCCTCCAGCCCCTGGGAACCCGTTTATATGGCTCTGAATGCTTCACTGTGGGCGGCCACTAACCGCCAGGACACCATTCTGGCTTTTCTTGCAGGGCGGCAGAATTACCCAAGGGAAAGGGGGCATTATTATTCACTGGGGGCCTCTGGGCCCCTGGGGAGTGTGTGCCAAGCCCCTTCTAAGTCAACACTGCTCTGCTAATCCCTGCTTCTCTAAGCTTCCTTTCACTTGGAAGGTTCCAGAATGAGCATCCTACTCCCTGCACACCACTCCCTCTCCTCCCCTCCCCGGGGATCCGACACTCTCCCTCACTCAGTTGAGGAAGGCCAGAGATCCTGCTCTTAAACCCAGGCCGGCAGCAGGCCAAGGTCAAGTCTGAGGAGAGATGCAAGAACAAGCAGTTCTTCCAGAAGCTGTGGTTTGGGATATCTTTTGTTTCGATCATTAAAAATACAAAAAGTCCCCAAAAATTTTAAAGAAAAGCTCCTACCCCTTCCTGGCCCACCCACCCTTCTGCTCTGCTGGCCTTGGCCTCCTGCCCCCATACACAGCCAGCACCACAGCCCAGAATGTCCTGTTCCTTCCACCCCTCCCCTCTGCCCGTCCAGACCTGCCCACTCTCTGGACAGCCTCAGCCCTGCCACCTCCCTCCTCTGCTCTCCCTGACCCCGGCCGGGCCCCACAGGGGCTGCACGTCCCCAAGGCCCCATGAGAACTCTCTGTGGGCCTGGGCTTCCTGCCCCTGGATCATTGGAGCCCCTGCCTGGGAGCAGAGGGCAGAGGGCTCAGCACGATCTATGTGAGCCCTATATCCCAGGGGGAGGTGGCTGGAGGAGCCTTCACTGGGGGTGGGTGGAACCTGCAAACTGCATTTCCCAGATGCCTTTGCTGGTTGGCTTCCAGTGGTCCTGTCAACACGAGAACAGGTGAGATTTGGAAGGTGGAGGAAAGATGAAGCCGTTGGTGCTACCGGGCTTTCCAAGGAGGGTCTCTGCTAAGCCGCCACTCCAGCCCCTGCTTGGGAGATGGACCCTACAGGTAGAGGAGCACAGACTTGCAGCCAAAGTCTCCACCACCTCAGGGGCCCAGAGAGTCCCAGGCCTTGACTTGGATTAGCGTGGTCCCTGACTGCCAGCCTCACGGATGCCTGACGGAAGAAGATGAAAATAGGAAGACAAAAACATCATCCTGACCTTCAAATTCATCCTGGTCACTATTGTTTTAAGTACAGTTTCCTGACAAAACACTTGAGGAGACTAAGACAACGTGAGTGAGAAGCAGCAGAAAAAACAGACAAGAGACTCAGACTCATGAATGCTTCCTGTGTTGGAAAAGTCAGGCAGACAGTCTGAGTGCGTTTGGGCTGATATAACAAAAAGCCACAGACTAGGTGGCTTGTAAACAACAGACATTTATTTCTCTTAGTTCTGGAGGCTGGAAATGTGAGATCAAGTGCCAACATGGTTGGGTGAGGGCTTTCTTCCGGGCTGCAGACTTCTAGAGTTGGTGGAATGATGGAGGGGGTGAGGGAGCTCTGTGGGGTCTGTTTTATCATGGCACTAATCCCGTTCACAAGGGCTCCACTCTCATGACCTAATCACCTCCCAAAGTCCCCACGTCCCAATACCATCACGTAGGGGACTAGGAGGTCAACATATGAACTGGGGGAGGACACAAACATTCAGACCATAACATAAACTATAAAAACAGCTATGATTACTCGGCTTAACAAGATGAGAGCCACATTTGAAACTGTATTGTATTTTCATAATTTTCATAATGCAGCTGGCAATTATAAAAAGTGATGTAAAGGACATCTGTGTAACCCAAGATAATGGTGGATTATTAAAACTGAATTTATGTACAATCCTCCAAAAAATATGTAGCTCTAAGAGAAGAAAAATGCAACCACACGAATCATGAAAAATATTAGAAACCTCACATTATCTGCAAGCAAAAAATAAACACAAATGTCCCCCAGAGATCTCTCTGCAGCTTCTGTCTCAAGACTTCATGGAGCATTACAGAGGCCTACAAAATCTGTAAAGAAGAGAGAAGATGGGACGAGAAGACCTAAGATGGAGCTAAAATAAGCCACGGGAGAAGAAAGGCTCTGACTGCAGAACTCCTGAGAAGGAGCCCTCATAGAATGGAGCATTGCCTGCAGGACAGGACAGGGGAGAGCTTGGGCTCGGGCAGGAGCTTCAGAGAGGCATCACATCTGGGTGAGAAGAGTGTCAGGAAAGGTGCCTTTCTAGACTGGGTAGTTGGAGTTAAAAATGCAGAAGGAAAGTGTAGGAGCCTTCAAGACAAAGGAGAACCAAACCACACACACACACACACACACACACACACACACACACACACACACAACTACCCCAAAAATGACATCCCTTAAAGATTTACTGCACTCACATTCGTGGATGCGTATGAATTAGGAATCTTGTGAGCCACCCAAACTGCCAACCCTGTCTAGGAAATGAATGCACTTAGTTAGTCTTTATACTTAACAAAACAAGAATAAAAACATTTATCTAATGGAAATCCCCCCAAGAGAGGCAGGGAAAACAAGAAAACTGTAACATGACACTCCAAATTGAGTTAAATATACGAAAACAAGCAGTGAAGGATATTACAAGAACACCTTGAATGAGGAATTAAAGAAAAGCTAGGAGCAAAAGTGAATAAAAGTCAGGAAAAATGAAATAAGAGTTGATTGTGCCTAGGAAACAAAGGGACTATTGGACTTTATAGATAAAGAAAAGTTCCTCAGAGTCTTCCAGGCAAAATGATCAAATTACTTTCAAGGGTGAGAGAAATAAGCTGGCATCAAACTTCCTAGAGCGAAACGCAGAGCAATGCGAGCGGCTAGAAACAGACTGACAGCAAGAGACTTACTCTCAATGAAAGCAGCTCCAGTGGACCCACGTGGGTCAGGATAAAGGAGGCTAAAAATCCAAGGCAGGTCTTGAGGGTTTGTATACGGTTTTACATCTTGATAACAGAGAGTAAAACACACACAAAAATCGATCATTTATTAAGCCACCAAGAAAGCATCAGAAAATTCCATAAGGCAGAAACATTATAAACAACCTTCTCTGACCAAAATACAATTAAACTGGGGTAATTTTTAACTTTCTATTTTGAAAAATACTCTTGGATGAAAGGGAAAATACAAACTGAAATTACAGACTTTATTTAAAATAAGTAAATAGAAACACTATGTAAAATGGTAATCAGAGGAAACATCATAACCTTAGATAGACATTGATACCACTAAAAATGAGAGAATGGGGGCCTGCCCAGTGGTGCAAGTGGTTAAGTGCATGCGCTCTGTTTTTGCAACCTGGGGTTCACAGTTTCAGATCCCAGGCACGGACCTACGCACCACTTATCAAGACATGCTGTGGTGGTGTCCCATATAAAGTAGAGGAAGATGGGCACAGATGTTAGCCCAGGGCCAATCTTCCTCACCAAAAAAAAAAAGAATGAAAATAAATGCATTAAATTCCCAACTCAAAATGCTAGAAAAGGAACAACAAAGTAAACTAAAGAAAATAATAATGATAAAAGCAGAAAATAATAGGCAGACAGTAAAAAGTAACAGAGGTAATTAATGAATCAAAATCCTGGTACTTTGAAAAATTAACAGAATAAGCAAACCACTAGCAACCATAAATAAGAAAAAAATAGAGAGACAATAAACACATAAAGTAAGAAGTGACAAGAGGGAGAGAAATGACATTTGAGACAGAAGGAAAAAATTTTTAATCCATAGAAAATACTTTGCTCGGGCCGGCCCTGTGGCTTGGTGGTTAAGTGCGCGCGCTGCAATGCTGGTGGCCCGGGTTCGGATCCCGGGTGCGCATCGAGGCACCACTTCTCCGTCCATCCTGAGGCCGAGTCCCACATACAGCAACTATAAGGATGTGCAGCTATGACATACAACTATCTACTGGGGCTTTGGGGGGAAAAAATAAAATAAATAAAATCTTAAAAAAAAAAAAAAAGAAAATACTTTGCTGATGTCTATGAAAACAATTTTGAAGTCCTAAATGAAATGGATAAATTTACAGGAAAATTCACTTTGCCAAAATTTACCCTATTAGACAGAGAAAGCATAAATAGACCAATTTCCATATAGAACAAATAAAGAAAGTTGTTGAGGAATTGTACTGTAAAAGGCACCAGGCCCAGATGGTTTCACTAGGGAATTCTACCAGACTTTCATAGGCTAGGGCATCTCAATGCTACAAAAATTATCAAGACCATATAAAATGAAGGAAAATGTCCAAATCTTATTCATGAAGCAAGTATAACATTGATATCTAAACCTGATACAGTCCAAAAACTAAATATCTGACCAATGTCACTTATGAATATCAAAACAAAAATAGTTCATGAAATATTAACAAACAGAACCCAACATCACATCAGGAAAATAATACATCATGGCCAAGTGGGATTTATTCCAGGAATGCAATGTTGGTTCAATATTAGGAAATCCAATAATATATTAGATGATATTTTTTAAAAGACTCTGAAGAAAAATCATGTGCTTATCTTCACAGGTGTCTCTTACAAATTTCAACGCCCATTCCTGATTTTAAAAAACACTCAAGAAAAGAGAAATTGTAGATGCTTCATTAACATGATAAAATATATATACACCTTAATCGTAAAAACATTGTCTTGTTTAATGGGGAAACACTAAAAGCATTTTTACTGAGAACAAAGTGAGGATGTCCAGCATCTCCTCTACTATTTATCATTGCACTGAAGGCAAGAGCCAATGCAATTACACAAGAAAAATAAATTAGAGGCATAAAGAAAGGACAAGAAGAAGTAAAGCAGTCGCCACATCTGATGATACAATAGTGTACATGGAGAATCAATGGTAAAATAACTCAAATGACAGAAGAGTTTATTGAGAAGTAGTACATAAAA